CTTTTGGTTATATCTTTACCTGGTTTTGGTAATATCTTTACCTGGTTTTGGTATCAGGATGATGTCTGCTTCGTAGAATGAGTTTGGGAGATTTGCATCTGATTTATTCTTTTGGAATAGTTTATAAAGAATTGGTGTCAATTCGTCCTTGCATGTTTGGTAAAATCTGCTGTGAATCCATCTGGTCCTGGGCTTTTCTTTGTTGGGAGCCTTCTGATAACAGCTTCAATCTCCTTTATTGTAATTGGTCTGTTCAAATTTTCTACGTCTTCATGGTTCAGTTTTGGGAGCTTGTGTGTGCCCCAAAATTTATCCATTTCCTCTAGATTTTCAAATGTCTCTTCTTATTCTAAGTTTCCTGATCTCATTGGTATACATTTGTTTAAGATGAGTGACAAGGGCTAGGAACATTGTTGCGATAGAATATAAAAAGCCTAAATAGAATATCTAGGCATGAATACTGGGAATTGTACCATACGTTGTAAAGAGCATTTGACTTGAAATTTTAAAAACTCTGGTGTTTATCTTACTTTACTCAAGCCTATTTAACTTTCTCCATTTCCTGAACTAGCCATATTATCCCATGCTCCCCAGCACAAGATTGTTCTTTTATTCCATAAACATTCATTTGTTGCTAGTCAGCCAGTTTAATTCCTAGTAATCCTTCAGGGTCAGTGCGCCCACACCTCGCTCAGCCAGTGAGCGGGAACCGGTCTGTATGTGGGATCCAAACCCTCGGCGGGAGCGCCACCACGCTCCCAAGCGGCGCACTGTAGCAGTGTGCCACCGGGCCAGCCCCTTTTCTGACATTTCTAAGTCAAGCTTGGTACCATTATTCAGTTCATCTATTACACTTTCTGTATATCTTAATTATAGAACCTCAAATTTTATTATGATATGGCATTTTATTTTTCTGTCTACCTTTTAGTTTGAGAATCTCCAAGAACAGATGCTGGAATGTCATGTTTATTTTTGTATTTAGGGTTCAATGCACATGTCATGTCATAGGCACTCTGTGTTAAATGAATTGGTTTAACAGGGTACCACTGCTACCCATTTGGCACCTTCACAAAAATTTGAAGAGAAGCAAAGATTACAGAAAAATGCAAGTTTTGTTAGAATAGGATACTTTGCTGCCATTTGCTAGAAAACCTACATCTGTGCTATGAATGGTGCCCCTTTAGATGCACAGTCTTCTATACATGGTAACCCTGAGTTTCAAAAACTAGTTCAGCTGTCTCTCATCTATGTACTTTTGGGTTGATCACCAAACTCCTCTGGTTCTGACTTTCTTGCCTATAACACGGTGATCATAATACTTGCCTTATTTCCTTATTTTATGATAATTAATTGAGATAATATATAGATAATCACTTTATATGCATTTTAGTAGGTGTACTTTTTTTTACGTGTTATGAAAGATTTGAAATAATCAGTATTTTCAGTTTTTAATATGTGGAGACTTGGCAAAGTATAATTTTAACTTTGATTTTAGGTCTTGCTTGTAAGTAGGTGTTACAAAGTTAGTGAAGTGTGCATCTGCTAAATTTTCAGATATAAGAAATAAATTTTTTCATTCTTAGAATGCTGTATTATAGTTACCTAAATCTAACATAAAGGAAGAACTTTGAAGAAACCACAGTCTTTGGCATTTTCTTTCCTTTTTTTTTTTTTTGTCTCTACTTAAAAATAAAAAAAAAAACAACTCTGCTAAAACTTGATTTTTTTTCTGATGACTTATTCTGATATCTCAGTAGTACAGAATTATCTCTTTAGTCTTTATTGTGTTATAGAGTTAGATGATTAGTCCTTCTGCCTTTAGGCAGTGTCACCATGGTAGCATTTGCAGAAAGTTAAGGAATGGCTTACAAACTTGCCAGTACAGTGACTGGTGGGGTAGAGATGTCCATTTTTCAAGATAGAGGTCTCCAAAGAAACCTACCTTAGTGAATTACCATGGTACAGGGATTGTTTGCAAACTGATTTTTGTCAGCACAAGAGGAGATCATCTCTTAGGGGTAGATCATATTGACTAGTTTGTGAAACTGATTTATAAAATCAGAAAACCGATTATTTTATAATGAGAAATCGTGCTGTCCTGTGCCCTGAGATTCTCTTATTGATACAACTGGTGTGTTGTCTGCTTCTAGGAAGATTTATGGGAACCTAAATTGTAATCAGAATATTTCTTGGTGTCATGGAATCAGAAGAAAAGGAATTAGTTAAAAAGTTGATTTTAAAAATGTCATCAGATTAGTTTAGCTGATCTCACAATAAAGATGGTCCTGTAAGTGGGAAATTTCTGGGCTAAAGCTTCCCTCTCCTCAGATTATTGAGCTCTGACAATGGTCCTGATTTTCTTTGCATCATTGGATGACCCGATTTTTTCTTATTTCCCCTATTTCCAAGGTGTTGGGTTAAACAGTTCATATACTTACAAACGTTAGAATCTACTTCATGAGATCAAAAAGTAAATATTCTAGTATTATTGCAGATTTTTATGAATAAAAATGCATTGTTTTCATCAATTAAAAATATTTTTAAATGACATTGGAAGTGTCTTTAGGACTGTATAATTCATCTTCAGTTTTATGTTCTCTTTCAAAATAGTTATAATCATGGCAAAAAATCATTATAGACATATGTGAATATATGTTGAAAGATGTTTTTGTTGCTCATTTTTAATAAGCAGACTTAAAATGGTTGCTTATCCTTTAGCCCCAGATATGCCTTGACTAGTATTTTGGTTATTAGGAAAATATTTTTGAATAGTGAAAAAAGGTTATATACAATTTTTAAACCTCAGTTAAAAAGTATATTTTCTTCTTATTCAACAGTGTAAGACGAATGGAATGCAAACCTTTTCTCAAGGTCTTAATGAACAACAGCAACATCAGTCTCCAGTTAAAAAAGGTACAATGTTACCATAATTCCCGAATTTTATCACAGAATGTCTTGACACTCATATAAAGTTAATATTAGTTTGTTGCTTAGCTACAAGTCTATGTACATAAGACATTTTGTTATATTCTTTTAGGTTTATTTCTGTTTATATTAGTCAGGCCGTTGGTTTCACTGCTTTAAAGAGATTAGATGGCTTAAACAAGATGGAAGTTTACTTCTATATTTTCTGTATCATGTAAAATTATGAGCTGCTACTGGTTCTGTTCAAAAGTTGCTACTGCCCAATGTTCTCTGTCTTACTGTTGTGCCATCCTCTACACATGGCTTCCATCTCATGGCCCGAGATAACTGCTATCATGTTCCCTAACTAGCCATCAGTAAAGGAGGAAAGGGGGAAGAAACTTGCCCTTAAAGTATGACCTGGAAGTTGCGTATGTTACTTCTACTTACATCCCATTGCCAGACTTAGTCATGTTTTATCTAGTGACATAGCAGAATGGGAAATGTAGTCTTTGGCTGTGCAATCGGCTAATTCTATTACTGAAACAGAAAGAAAGAGCTACTCATGGGGGAGACTCAGTAGCCTCTCCCACACTAGCTACTTTTTAAAATAAAATAAAAATGATTTTTTAAATTTAGTTTCCAAATTTTTGTCAATCAATATATGTATGTAGTTTAAAAGTTAGAGTGTGAAAATATTTCATTAGCTTTTTCTTCTAGCATTTACCTCCATATTTCTAAATAAAATATTTAAATTGTTGTTTCTAACTTTCTCAAGTTTCGATATTATATGTCCTATCTTGGTAAATGAGAACTTCAGTCTTCCACATTAATTTTCTCATTTCTTTACCCTTCTGTCTCCCCTCCCTATCACATAGTTATTTCAAAAGTTTCTATTAAAATGTTACTTAATCTTTATGTTATTATGACTGTGTGAATACAGCTACTTACTCAAGAGGGGCATATCTCCTTTTTCATGCAATCCTTTATTTTTTCTGGAGTTAATGTTTACCTTGTTTTTATATATTACTATTGTTAACTTTTTTCCTCAAATGCTCCAACAAGTCTGTCACACTCATCTATAATATTTATATTCAATTATAACAGTTCTTTTTTTTCCATAGAGGAGATTTTTCTTTTAGAATCCACCATTATCCTATTCCAATATGGGCTAGTTGTTCTTCAGTACTGTTGCACAGCTGTTTTCCTGCAATGGACCTTTACTGTTATCTTGTACATCTGTTCACAATTCTTTGGTTTCTTTCTTTTTTTTTTTCCCTTCCTTTTTTTTTTTTTATTTGAAGTAAAATTCACCATTTTAACCATTTAAATATCTAGAGTTCAGTGGCTTTTAGTACATTCATAATGTTGTGCAACCATTACTACTGTCTAATTTCAGAACATTTTTGTAACCCTGAAAAGAAGCCTCATAGCCATTAAACAGTTATTCCCTACTTTCTCTTTTGCCTAGGCACTGGAAAACACTAATCTACTTCTGTCTCTATGGATTTACCTACTGTGAACATCTCATATAAATGAAATTATAAAATATGTGGCCTTTTATGTTTGGCTTCTTTCACTTGTATAAAGTTTTCAAGGTTTATCCATGTTATAGCATGTATCAATACTTTATTACTTTTTATGACCAAGTGGTATTTCATTGTGTGGATTATGCCACATTTTGTTTATTCCTTTCTCGGTTGATTAGTATTTGGGTTTTCACTTTTTGGCTATTATGAATAATGTTGCTGTGGACAGTTATGTACAAATTTTTTGAACACCTGTTTTCATTTATCTCTGGTGTATACCTAGGAGTGGACTTGCTGGATCATATGGTAATTCTATGTTTAAATTTTGAGAAACTGCCAAACTGTTTTCCACAGTGACTATACCATTTTACATTCCCAGTAGCAATGTACTAGGGTTCCAATTTCTCAATGTTATTATCTTTTTTTAAAATTATTAATAGCCATCCTAGTGGGTGGGAAGTGCTATCTCATTGTGGTTTTGATTTGCATTTCTCTAATGACTGATGATATTGAGTGTTTTTCATGTGCTTGTTGACCATGAGTATTTCTTCTTTGGAGAAATGGTCTATTCAAGTCTTTGACAATATTTTAATTGGGTTGTCTTTTTGTTATTGAGTTGTAAGAGTTCTGGATACTAGACTCTTGCCTATTATCTATTCTCTCTCTCTCCCTCTCCTTCTCCCTGCCATCCCTCTCCACCACCACTCTTTCTATATATAATCTGAATACTAGGCCCTTATCACATATATTATTTGCAAATGTTTTTTCCTGTGCTGGAGATTGTCTTTTCAATTCTCTTGATAGTTTTCCTCTACTGCACAACATTTTTAATTTTGGTGAAATCTGATTTACCTATTTTTTCTTTTGTTGCTTGTGTTTTTGTGTCATATTTAAGAACCAAATCTAATGTCGTGAAGATATACCCGTTTGCTTTTGCATACGAGTTTTAGCTCTTACTATTATAGTTTTAGCTCTTACATTTAGGTATTTGATACATTTTGAGTTAATTTTTATGTATGATGTGAGATAGAATTTCAACTTCATTCATTTTCATGTGGATATTCACTTTTTCCATTGAATGGTCCTGGCAGTTTTGTTGAAAATCAGTGACCATAGGTGTATGTTTTTATTCCTTGACTCTCAATTTTATTCCTTTGTTGTACATGTATATGATATGCCAGTTCTACACTGTTTTGATTACTGTAGCTTTTAGTAAGTTTTTAAATTTGGAAGTCTTCTAACTTTGCTCTTTTTCACGATTATTATGGCTATTTGGGTTCCTTGTAATTCCATGTGATTTTTATAATTAGTTTTTCCCTTTCTGCAAAAGAGGCCATCAGAATTTTGATAGGAATTGCATTGGATCTATAGATCATTTTGAGGGAATGTTCCCGTCTTAATATTATATCTTCCAAGCCATGAGCATAGGATATCTTTCCATTTATATAGGTATCATTTAACTTGCTTTAGCAATGTTTTACAGCTTTTAGTATACAAGTCTTACACTTCTTGGCTAAAGTTATTACTAAGTATTGTATTCTTTTCGGTGCAGTTGTAAATGGATCTTTTTTAGGGGGGAATGTTCATTGATAGTGTATAAAATAAGCTTATTTTATGAGGGAACATTACTGTGAATTTGTGGAAATAAAAAGGATTATAAGAAAATATTATGACCAGTTAGTTGTATGCCAACAATTTCAATAACCTAGTTGAAATAGAAAAGCTATTGGAAACACAGAATTTACCAAAACTGAATCAGGAAGTAGAAAATCTGAACAAACCTATAGCAAGTAAAATGATTGAATCAATAACCAAAAACCTCTTAAAACTCGTAGAACAGGGCCGGCCCGGTGGCGCACTGGATAAGTGTGCCGCTTGGGAAGTGCGGCGGCGCTCCCGCCCGAGGGTTCGGATCCCACATACAGACCGGTTCCCGCTCACTGGCTGAGCGAGGCGCGGGAGCAACACCGAGGGTTGCGATCCCATTGCCGGTCCCCGGTCCGGTCCGGGGGCAACACTGAGGGTTGCAATCCGTTGCCGGACACAGAAAAAGACAAAAAAAAAAAACTCGTAGAACAAAACATAGGGGAAACACTCCAGGATTTAGGACTTGGCAATGACTTTATGAATAGCGCCCCAAAAGCACAGGCAACAAAAGAAAAAATAAACAAATGAGATTATATCAAACTAAAAAGCTTCTTCACAGCAAAGGAAACAATCAACAGTATGAAGAGACATCCTGTGGAATGGGAGAAAATATTTGCAAATTACACACCCAACAAGGGATTAATATCCAGAATATGCAAAGAGTTCAGACAACTTTACAGTAAAAAAACAAATAATACAATTAAAAAATCGGCCAAGTAGCTGAATAGACATTTCTTAAGGGAAGGCATACAAATGGCCAACAGGTATATGAAAAAATGCTCAACAACGCTAATCATCAGGGAAATGCAAATCCAAACCACTTTTAGATATCACCTCACTCCAATCAGACTGGCTATTATAAAAAAAGACAGAGAATAACAAATGCCGGTGAGGATGTAGGGAGAGGAACCTTCCTGCACTGTTGGTGGAACTGTAAATTAGTACAGCCATTATGGAGAACTGTATGGAGGTTCCTCAAACAACCACAGATAGAACTTCCATACGATCCAGCAGTTCCACTCCTGGGGATATATCCAGAGAATTGGAAGACATCAGGTCGAAGGGATACCTGCACTTCCATGTTTATTGCAGCTCTATTTACAATAGCTAGGTGATGGAACCAACCTAAATGTCCATCAATGAATGACTGGATAAGGAAATAGTGGTATATATACACAATGGAATACTACTCAGCCATAAAAAAAAATGAAATTCTACCATTTGCAGAAATGTAGATGAGCCTGGAGAAAATTATTCTAAGTGAAAAAACCCACATACAGAAAGAGAAATACCGCATGTTCTTACTCATAACTGGGAGTTGAATCCATAAATAAACAAATGAACAATAAAGAGAAACAGGGAAAGAAAGAAAGAAAGAACAATCACAGTATACGTTGAATTTTTAGAAAACTAGAGATGGAAAAGGGGAGGGGAGGGGAAGAAGGAGAGGGGCTAATGAGGAATTTGTCAATGGACATAAAGAATGATTGCATGTTGTTATTGATGAATATGCTAACTATACTGATCTAACCATTGGGGAAAAAAAAAAGAAAGAAAGAAAAGTCCAGGAGTAGATGGCATGACTGGTGAATTCTACTAAACATTTACAGTTGAATTAACATGAATTTTTCTCAAACTCTTCCCAAAAAGTTGAAGAGGAGGGAACACTTCCCAACTATCCTGTGAGGCCAGTATTTCTCTGATATCAAAGCCAAAGACATCACAAGAAAATAAAACTACAGCCAATATTTTTTTGAATATATATACAAAAATCTTCAGCAAAATATTAGCAAACCATATTCATCAACACAGTAAAAAGATTATACACCATGA